GCCTGAGAAAAGTCCTTCGCGGGCCAGGATGACAAAGAAAGTAATTACCCTCAAAAAAGAGAAACTTACAAGTACCGGTTGCGATCGCAGTAAGTCATGGCCTTCGTGCCAACATTGATAGTTGTACAGGGCACGGACAGTACTCGAGATTCTGAGAAGCTGCACTGGCTACCATCACTTCCAACCTTTGAGAAATTCGTTCCCCTACCGTACAAGATGTGGGAACCCTAAGACCTTGTTGCAGTCTTCGGCTGAGATGTTCAGAAGCCAAAGCTCGATAGATGTAGTCAGGCGGATCGTAGGTGGAGGGGCCGCCTGAGTTCAGCCAAGGGCACTTCAAGAAGCAAACCCCAGCGCTGAAAGGATTCATGGTAGGGTTTAGGGATGCGTAAATGGTAGTTTCCAAAAACAAGGAGAACCCAATATAGGGTAATCGTGGAGAATCACATGGACAACCAAAGGAAAATCAAATGGCAGCTATGATATATACTACTGTAATGGCAATTTCCATGAATGGGAGAACTCAATATAGCCCCCAATATACTACATGGACCCCAGATTAACAAGGGACACCTAATTTGGAGAAAGGCTTCTTGCTGAAGTATGCAGGTGGCTTCCGGACTGAAGTTCCAGTTGTACCACATAATTGCTTGGAGGGTCAGAGGGACTTAGTAAGTAGGTTAGTAAGTGGGATAAGTAGGGTTACCATAAGGATTATAGAGGCTATAAGCCTACTTACGAAGTCCCCCTGGCCCCTCCAAGTAGGATGTCGCAAAGGCAATGCCATCGTTTGCTGTATAACTTACATGAGGTTTCAATCAAAAGCGTTGTCTCATTGCCAAGCAGGAGCTATTTACTGCATTGTTTTGTGAAAGCAAGTTGCTGCATTTTTCATGAGAGCCTGCGGGGTGAAACGAAGAAGGAACCCAAGTCTCCAGACACCCTGGTCGTTCTTGGGGCCACCTCACCCTTGAAAATCCCAAGAATTCTTTGTGCCAAACCATCGAACAGACCTCCGAGAGAGAGAGAGCTCACGACGCCTGACCCCAGGCCTTCAACAACTTTTCAGAAAAATTGGACTGTCACTGAAGGCCACCTGTCCTAAATCCCGAAGCCCCAAAATGCGAGCCCTGTTAAAAGCTGTCATAGCTGCCAATCTCCCCAGGATCCAGGTCCCTGTCGATCCAAAACCAGTTTGTGACGTTTGCCTTGGAAGGGTTTAAGGCTGAGGGTATCCCAGCAGGTCCAAGTGCCCAATACCTAGGTACTTGGGATTATGATGATATAGTATGTATAATAGCGTGTTTTGTAGTACAGCTTTTGGGTAATGAAAGGATTATTAGGCGCTTGAACCCCTAGGGAATGAAAATTGAAAAGGCAACGTGCCGAGGTGTATGTGGATGTCTGCCAGTGTCAGGGAATACTACAAGCCTTAAAAGGTTGTGGCAACATTTCCAGGGCTGTCGAATAGACTTTGCCTGAAAAGGCTATCTCAAGGCCTGAGGAATCAAGATGATTCCGGTGTCTTTTGCTCCCGGGACATCGGACGAAGGTCAAGCAAAAAGAGGTGACTGACAAGCAGTTCTCGGGCTTCGGAATTCAAACAAAAAATTAAACGCACTGATGATCAAAACCTCTTGACGATGAAACGTCGATGGGCTCCCTGTGGCCTAGACAAAGGCCCAAGCAACGCGTGCAAAATCCTTTGATGAATGAACCCTCTGCTGAAGCCCCAGACCCTCAACCCCCCAAATCATCGATACTAAGCCCAAACTGCTTTCGCCTTGAAGGCCTGAATTTCCTGAAATCGTAAATTTTCAAATCCTCAGCCACGGTTACTGCTGCGTCGAAGAATTCATGGGCCACCGGCGTCGTCATTTCTCCACCCAACGCCGAGAAGGAGTTGATATGAAAGTACCTTCACAGCGTGTGCAAGTTCTCTAGACGTATGAGTCCAGGCACCTAATTAATACTCATACTTACCCAGAGCTGTACCATAGATACCAGTACCAGTACTACAAATCCCAAGTATCTAAGTATTGGGTACTGGGACCTTCTGGATAGGAGTTTACGGTTCAGAAGTCAAGGTTCAAGGGGTAGGGATGCGAAATACGTTCACCGCGGTGTGGCAGGATCCCATGCTCTGGGATCTTGCTTCTGAGTAGGATAGTGGAATTCTGATCTTGATGCGCCTGATCGCCCGAAAATACTGTGGATCCTGCCTATTGCTGATGCCGATAATTAGGCTCCCCAGGTCCGCAGACACTAAACGGAAACAGCAAAAAGCCGGCCGGCCTGTACGACAACGTAGCCACATTCTCCGGAACCAGGAATGTGGTCGACGACGCCTGAGCAGGCTACAAAAGGCCCAAATTCTCCATCCGCACCAGTGGGCTCCAAGCGCTTCAAGGTTCTGGCAGCTTAGCAATTTTCGGAGTGCCTGCTGGCACATGAGCTACATGCGCACACCTCACCAACACTCAGGCGTCGACTGAAAAAGTGTCTTTATCCCGCATCCACTGTCGATTTAAGCTCGTAAGGTTGATTCAGCAATCCCCAAACATGCGGTCGAGGCTTTCTTCACAACCCCCCGGACTTTTGAGGATGTTATAGGGTTCAGGGTTTTAGGGTTTAGGGTTTAGGGTTTTAGGGTTCAGGGTTTTAGGGTTTTAGGGTTTAGGGTCTGGGGTGTCGGGCTTCGCCAAACTGAGCCCAAGGAGCAGCTTGCGCCGTCAGAGAAGCGGACCGCGTGGGCCCAGCTGAGCTGGTTTCCTCGGATCTTTCACATTCCAAGAAATTCAAATTACTTATATAGTATATTATTGGGATAATGGAAAATAAAATGGAAACTACAGGAATTATAGGGGTTGTTATAGGGATATATTAGGGTATATATTGGGGTTATATAGGGATAATGGAAAGGAAAATGGAAGCTACTGTATTAGGGTTATGTAGAGGTTTGGTTGCTGTTCATACTCTAGATGCCTTGCTGGCGTGTGCGGGTAAAATTCGGCGCCTGGGATCCAACAAATCTAGATCTCATCGCTCTCTCACAACCTCAGATACAACCAATCAGGCAGCTCCAGCCAAGATCCTGATAGGACTTTACATAGAGGGTTTACGTGGGTAGCATCCTCCAATCAAAGGAGAATCAAATTGGAAAACAACATAGATAATGACATGGACATGAAATGGACTCTGGGTTTATATAGGGGTCGATGGGGATTATGTCCTAAGGTCCAGCAACCTCCATGTACCACATGTTCAGACTTCAGGACTCACTGATCATTCTGGAAGACTCCTAAAACATCCAAAACACGTAAACCCTAAACCAGGAACCCTACACCCTGAGTCCTACACCCTGAGTCTTACACCCTGAGTCTTACACCCTGAGTCTTACACCCTGAACCCTAAACTAAACCCTGACCCCTGAAGGTTCCTTAGTTACCTGGACATGGGAGGCTTGAGCTTGACCTCGCTCTGAATGTGACATGGACCTCGTTGGGTGGAAACTCCACAGATCCTGGAAGCCGCGGGAAGCAAGGAAATCCCGAAGCCTGACATCCACCCACGCCCAGGAAATGGATCGCCACAGGCGCTAAGAAACCCAAAGCCAAAGAATTCGTCGCTCACATGTTCTCAAGAAAGGCTCAGTAACCAACACCCATTGGGCCGAGGGACAGCTAAGTAGATGTTGTATCCCACAACACGGCCAAGAATAGCTGGCTTGGTCCAGACCTCATGGAAGCTTCAAGGCGTTAAAGCATCCAGGCTCTTGAGTTGTTTTAAGCGCTTCAAGAGCTATGACATAAGGGTCAATGCTTAGTGGCTTGAGGGTAGAGATACGCGCGCTAGAGCTGTCAGGCGTGTTCGTTCTTTCTGGCAAGCATCAGCTTAAGGATCTGCTGATGTTCTATGCCCCTGGGTCTAGGGGCAAAACCACAAAAAGTTTGGGCCTTAGGGATATCAAACGGCAAATGCATACATAAGGTTATACAGGTGGCAGTTTCCATAAAAGTCGTGGGATAATCCTTGCTATAGGGACACCCAAAAAGCTACCCCCAATTTTGGGAAACCCAGGAGAAGACCCTCCCCATCCCAAAGAGCAACCTTCCAACTGCATAGCCCAGACAAGGATCAACATGCATTACGTGTGACTGCAAACACGGCTCTAGAATCTGATTACTTGCGATGATGTAGCTACGGGAAGAAGCATAAATCTAACACTCGTCAAGACATGTACGGAAACATAGAATGTCTGCATCTGAAATATTATTTCTGCAAATTGCTGAGCAGTGAAGGAGTTCATGGTGAGTTTCTGTGCAAAGGGAATACCAGTGATCAGAAAACTGCAGTAAAAGCACCACTCAAACCTGCAGCATTAGCAATGACTTCATTGAGAAATTAACGAGATCCAAACCTTGATGGTGCCGATCAAAATTAGGAGAAAAAAAAAGTCCAACGAGATCAAGATTTGGAGGCCCCAAATCAGTGCTACTTTCACTTCCTGTCTGGGGCTCCCCGCCAACTCTCCTCCCAAGTCGCCCGTGTCTAGGTCCTCAGCGCACCAAAGGCTCAGTTGAGTTGGGTACTTAGGGTCAGCGGCCTTCTTTTGCTAGGCTAAAGGAAATCCAGATTCTCCTGTACGGAGGGCGTATTAGTTGGGTTTGCGGGTGCAGGTAATCATTTAGGCTTGTACATTGCTTTTCACGAGGCACTAGCAAGCATTCAAAAGCTTGAAAGGTGTCTGAAATGTCGGCGACCCAATCCACGACGGGGCTGGGCTTGCTCGTTCTTCTGGCTTCTTCGGTAAGGGCCCTGCTGAAAATCCAAGAATTCTAAAAAACATCCGAAGATGAATTTTGAAAACAGAGGGACCTATGATTGTAAGAAACCCTATACATCTCCTAGCACCCTTGCATCATCCCATGCTTCCTCTAATAAGACAGGTGCTCATAGTGTGGTCGCCTTTTGCCTACCGGGCGCATTTTACTTGGGACTCATGAAGGCTTAAGGCTTCTGTCACTTTTAAGCCCTGCTGCATCGTCTGTGAAGTTGACCTCCGTCACAGAGGCATTCAGCGAGGCGCCCAAGAAGGACAGAAAGGCCGGAGTCGACGCTTCCGCCAGGGTCTGGGACAGCGCTGGGGTGTGCGGGGGTGTGATAGGAGGGCTTAAGGATTTGGGGAGGATTGACTTGGAGAATTTGATTCCATCCAATCGGGATGTGTAGAACACAAATCCGAGCCAATTGCACAGAGCGTCAGGTTCAGAATGCAGGTTTCGTTTCGGCTTAACGAGTTCCATTGATCTGTTTCGGCCTCTGGCATGGTTTGTGGGGCTTCATGCGTTGTATCAGCTAATAAGGATCAGGGTTTCAGTGCAGCGAAATCCTGTACTCTCCTCTATCCCTAGGTTTGCTGAGGGTGAGGGGAACTCTCATACGTGGAAACCATGTAAAATCACAACCCTGGATCCTTCTGCATGAAGATCCCAAAATCTCCAAAATGACGCAGGCTTTGCGGGCTTTTGTACGCTGTAAGGGTTTACAGGGTTAGGGAATATTCCGACAAGATGGGGCAACCAGGTAAACTAATCCCCAATCAAACTGGGGGTCCGGACCGAGCGCGAGTACACCAGGAAGTGAGAGTAGCCTTTGAAGCTCATTGCTGCGCTGTTCACCAGACTCACCGTTGATGTACTATGCCAGAAGGTCGTCGTGTACTCTATACTGGGCTCAGGTAAGCCTGAATTTCTGGACTCCATCTCCCAGCAAAGGCAGTGTCAGGCATACACAACAGATCTGCTTCTCGCAGAAAAGCCCTACAAGTAGGGGGCAAGGCCCTGAGCTGACATGGCTCGAAACACAGCTACATTGAGGGACACTAACGATATCTAGGGCGTATAAGGGCGTTCTCGATTCTAGAAGGAACTTGTTGAGAAACTCTTACAGTAGCGGACCTCTTAGGGCGTGAAATCTTTGACCACATTTGGGCTAGCATTGCGGGGAGGCCCTAGTTATCCCCCTTACTAACCTTCTTACTAAATCCCCTGGTCCTCCAAGTATAGGCGTCAGAGTGTGGGCTTCAAAGCAGGAGTGTCTAGGGTTTAGTTTAGGGTTCAGGAGAAGGGCCCCCACACTTCCAGCAAAGAGGAGGGCGAAATGATATTTTGCTTTGGGGCCTTCAAAACCGTGGGACGTGATTCTTTCTGGAATCGAGCGGGGTGGGGCGGACATGGTTCAGGCTCATTCAAGAGGAGACCGCGAATCTCAAGATTCCTGAACTGCTGTCACCCTGACTTGTTCTCCACCGCCATCACACCAAGACCAAGTATAGGCGTTTCAAGACCCATGCTGAACACATAATATTCCCAAGATCTCCTTGAGCCCTAGCCTAGACCCTAAAACCTCAAGCTTAAAACGCACACCGCGCCCCTGGAACCCAACACCTCATGTTTGTAGCCTCAGTGCTATACCTCTTGTGGTTGCCCAGGAGCTTGAGCGCAGCGTGCCAGCAGGCACCGCGAAAGTGTTAGTGCCTTGGGACATGATGCTGTGGGAGTTCATGCTGCGGCTTCAGGCTTTAGTCATGACTCTTAGGGCCTCAGGGTGCCAAGCAGACCATCGAAACAGGAATGGCTATGTCTCAGAGAAGATCTCTGAATGCCGAGGAGTTTTGAACATCCGCGAGAAGAAGGCGCTAAAGAGACCGCTGATGCGGTAAAGCATCGTGGAAGTGAGCTACAGTTTATGAGCATGACAGCCTCAGGCGAACACCATTTTCTTCTTGTTGCCGAGTCCCGGATTATCGCCGTACTCACAACCACCAACAATTGGTAGCATGGGGCTTAGGGCTTTGCGAAAAGTTGCTTGTTCTTGAAAAAGTGGTGTCATCTACGGTTCACCCCTTCGCAAATCGAGACCCAGCACTTCCAAGGCAGTCACGGCACCATAGGGCACCTCACCCATCTCCACGTACGATAGCGCACCAAGCGGTTCGAGGTCGGAAGAGTTGTAGTCTGCAAGCAACCAAGGGCTGTCGGCTCAATTACGCCCAGACTTGTTGTGTTTGGGCTCCGTAGAGGGCACTTGAGTTCCCCAGAAGTCCAAGCGGAGCTAGCAGCTATCAGGATCATGAAAGAGCATCTGGAGCAGGGCGTTGTGGGAGTAGATTATAGACCGTGAACGTACTACCAGTGCTGCCTTGCTGCGTCTTCAGAAGCACAAGCATGGAGTAAGTCAACCCTCTGGGGTAGACTTCGGGCTCTGCAATTAATAGCTCTCAGGGTTCTGAGATCTTAGGTTTGCGACGTTTCGGGCACGGCTTGCGTAGCAGAGGTTCTAGGATGGCCCGACTGTTGGAACATGTAGCCTGTGCAAAGCTCCGCATGTGTGTTCTAGAAAGACTTGTATGGGCCATCTTTCGTTCAACGTCCGTCACTTCAGAGGGCTCTACTCATAGAAGCTGTTTCTTGCGAGGGGCATACATAAAGACTTCAAATCGTGCGATGCATGCTGCCCAGTCAGCGGTGACAAGTTGCCTGGTTGGGGGTTGGGGCGTTGGGGCCTTGCGACTGCTCATGAAAGCATGTAAGATCTTAGCGCCGCTTGTTTTGCAATTCAAAGTTTGCGTCAAAATGCAGGTCGCGTCGACTTGCAAGACAAACGGCCATTCATGCCCCGCACAAACGAACAGACTGCACGACTGTTGGGAAACAATGGTCTGTGACATCTGCACTCCCCTTGTCATTTCTCAAAATGCAATCCTCATAATAGCCAGCAAGTATCCCTCGCTGATTACAAGACGACTCCTCTTGAATGCCACCTTTCGTGCTGCAAGCTGCGCTAAAGTATTCCCGCATCAAGGGCCTGCCTTGCAGATTATATGCATGAACGCCCTTACACGCTTGTACTGATTGCCAGTAGATCTGCCAGTACTATCTGCTTTTGACCGGTGTGGTTCCAAGTATTCCTAAAACTCATCCAGTATCCTATAATCCCCCCCAGACCTACAATGTATTCTTTTAAACTAAAAGTTCTGTAGGGCTATACTGTAATGCATACGGAAGGTCACTCCTCCGGAGATTCCAGTATCTTTGATACAGCGTGATGGCTTGACCCCAGGTGTGCTCTGCACAGCGCATTCCTCTTCCTGCAAACTCGGAACCGCCGGTGTAGTTCACCAAGAGCCGGTTGCCACCAGTGCTTGCATCCGCGAGGTACACAGCATACCTCTGCTGACGTACAGGCAGGACTCTATGAGAACGTGACAACTTGAAAGTCCCAGAAGGAGGATCTGCAAACTCAGCCCTGTGCCCAGTTGACTCTACGCCCACAGACCCAAACAAAAAATCCTTTCTCATAAGTCCCAGGGACGTGATAACTTCACCAGAAACATTCTCCGGTGGCGTCCATTCCAAGGTACCCTCCAGATCGTTGATGTCCAGGTCCTCCGGGTACATAAGTTGGGAACGCAAAGCCTCCATGCCCTTTCATGTAGCATCTGGGAGTTCAGGCACGGAGGGTGATCTTGCACATCAGGAACCGCACAACCTAAACCCTGAAATAAACGATCCTACGTACTTCCCCAAACACTTCGAGAAGCTGATCTTTCAACCTTGACCAGATTAGAGCTGTTTCGAATAATCTGAGTCAGGCCAGAAACTTACCTCAGAAGGGCTTGAAGGATTCAGGATCCATAGTGTCCGGCTTCAGCATTTGAAGCTTTGCGGCTAGTGCTCGAGCCCTACAATCCCAACTTGTTACACCTAGCTGTTGTCATTGCACGCGGTCCCCTTAGATTCAGCGGTATCTGCTTGGACCACCACAACTGACAAGCCTGCCAAGCCCCCATCTTTCGGTTTCAATCGACCTTTCAGCTTCACCTGCCGATGAGCCCCCGACCAAAAGAAGGTAGACTCGGATGTTCCAAAATTGAGAGGGCTCGACAAGAACGTCCCAAGGAAACTCAATTTGGCTTTCGAAGCTCCCACTGTGGGAGAATGTTATGATATCCGTCCTCACCAACCCAGAAGACGTTCGTCACCGGCATGTCGGAGTCCACGATGCGGATGTAAGCTGGCGTTGTCTGCTCAACCAGTGAAGAGCGGGCATAGACCAGAATGTAGTCCTCAGTTGGGTCTGAGACTTGGGTTTGGGCTTTTGGAGTTTAAGGTCTGCACCTCAACCCTAAGGAGACTGGTCGGTAAGAATCGGCATCAGCCGTGGATGGACGTGATCCTGCATGAGTGCATAACCCTCTAAGGCACTAAAACAGACCCTAAACCCTAAACCCTCTGATGCAGGACATTTTCCATCACCAGGTCCAGACCCTCCCCACGCTAAGGCGGGACTAAAGCATCTCAGTACTTCACAAAGGAAGGCAAGCCCCCCAAGCATTACTCCAGTGCAGAGCTTATTCAGGAAGGAGCCCGATCGCAACCAAGTGGCGAAGATCATCTGGCTCGAGTTTTCCAGTAGAGAACCTCATTTTATGAAACAACATAGGCTGGGAATCCAGGGTTTAGGCCGTGGTTTAGATCCTCCTCAGGAGATCACTGATCTGATCTGCAAACATAAACCTTAGGCCAAATAGGCAACCCTCCAGGCGCCTCAGCTCATCAACCCTGAGCTGCCTGGCTTTCCTCAACCCGGCGACCCTCATCAGAAACTCCACATTGACCACACATCCCGAAATTCTACGCATGGAACCTACATCGCGAAATCCTAGTGCCCAACCTCCGCGTTCTAAAGCCAACTTGCTGCCTGCCTTAAAACGCATGCGTAGGACTGATTACTATAGGGACTTAAGTAACTACCTGTATGACTTCTGGGTATATTTGAGGCAACCTCCTTTCTGCCCTGGCACTGGGATGGTTGCGCGACGTATCTGCCGGGATGAAAATCTCGGAGTAGGGCTGCTGGACGTAGGTGAACAAGAAGCCTTGGGAGTTGGTTTACAGGCGCTTAAGAGGGAATGAAGGCTTGGGGGGTTTAGGATGGTGAAGTGAGTATAGGGACTACTACAGATATTTTTATGAGAGCTATATCAGGGTATGGGACTGCATCCTTGGAATAATCACAATTTCATCCCCATATATGCCACTTTGATAGTCCCTATATTGTTCGGAGCTTGGAGGTATGAAGCGGTTTAGACGTGATTTGTCGGGGTGCGCTTAAGATTTGGGGCTATTGGCTTGTAGCTGAAGATGGTTTAGGATCTAATTGGGGTAGGAAGTTGGATGTCAAGTTGTCCAGCCAGCATTCTCTTGACGCCGGTTGTAAAGGACATTCGACCTCATGTGGCGGCAGGAAAGCATACCGGACATACCGCCTGCAAACCTTCTGTTACCAAAGAGGTTGTGTGTTATGCAGATAGCCTTGAGGGCTGAGATCCTGAAACTACCGAGTTGCTGCGAAGGAACTGAATTCAAGATACCACATCGTGGGTATATAGGAAATGAAAGATTGCTTGACAATCCTAGCCGTTTTAAAAACAAGTTCCTAAATGCAACCCAGACTATGGGTGAAGAGTTCCTTCACATTGCTTAACCTGGGGGCGGGCTCCAGGGTTGAGTAGCATGACTTAATTAGGGTTTAGGATTTAAGGTTCCGGGTTAAGGGCTGGAGGTGTAACTAGGGTGCAACTCCAGGTGCCATGAATTCGAGCGGCAGCCTACACCCTCAACCTTATCCCTCCATCCTCAACTCTCTAGCCTTGATTTCTGACTCAAGGAGGCTGCCAGGGGGCGGTTGTCGAGCCCAGCTGAGTCCAAGCCAAAATAGACCTCTCATGGGAAGGTGTTTAGAGATATGGAATTTGGGTTTCGGGATTATAGTTTAGGGTTGACTTTGGAAATATATAGAGGCGAATGAGGTTCCACTGAGATTTTAGAGTTGCCTGAGGTTCTATGAGGTCGCGGCTCCGTACATCGTGTTGCCGTACGGGTTTTGACATGGTTGGGGCTGTTTGGTTGCAAGGTACCCTCTTAGCTCCTAGCCTGCCATCGCGAGTGCTAGCAATAGGTTTACCACTCAAATAGGGCTCACGAAGGGCATGTCGGGATTCATGTAAACAAGCACGGGATCACAACATGAATATTGAATATTAGGGCTTTATGTTGCAAGGGTTTAGGGCAGGAGGCCGGGCAGCATTTTTTTGCGGTCAGGGAACAAGGCTTCTCCGCGCGAGACATACAGGACGCAGGGTACATGCTTGGGACTTCCAACTTTGACGATTCTACAGAGTTGACTTGCTGAAGGAAGACCATGGCCTTTAGAAGGTACATGGTACAGGTGTATGACAGCCAAGGAGCGAAATAGTGCGTGATGAGGGAGGTGTCCAGTGAAGGCTGCTGCCAAGTCAGATTGCCTCCAAACCTTTGCAAATTGGCCACAAGGCAGAGCGAGGGGTCGCAGCATTTAGAACGTCCTTTGCGGACTTCCCTAGTCTCTTGCCGGCATGTCAAAGCCGCTATGGATGTTTGAAGAAATAGGCGTACCACAAGGACCTGCGGACGTATTAGGGAACCCCGGAGAAATTAAGGCTCCCCTGAAGTACTGTATCGCGACACTAAGCAGCTCTCATGAGGTTTGAGGATCCGGCGGCTTACATCGTGCATATCCCAGACATGGAGCTTCCATGTTTCTTCAACGGTGGAAGCTTCTACCTGACACCAGCTCAAGCCCAGGAGCTCCAACACATCCAGGTCCAGGTCAGTGAAGCTCACCTTCAACTTGCTGGGGGTTAGTGTTGGCGAAGAGAAAATATAGGGATTCTATAGGGATTGCATTTCCTTAGTCCCTACCAACCACCAGCAGGTCAATCAGCTGTCTGAGGAATCTGGGCAGGAGAGTCTGTTGGAATCACAACACAGGAAGCTCCCCTGCCGCACGGAATGGACAGGTTTCAACTGCTTCTGAAGCAGTCGCATTTAAGTCCTGTATCTCAATCTGGGCCACTCAGAGAGTTTCGGAAGGCCAGGACGATTTGAATTCTGACAGTCGGTCGAAAACTTTAAGGAAATGTGCAGATGACGCGTATGAGCGAGGTAAGAGGCATGTCTCAATCTACAATCCCCGATGGTAGGATCTGTTTCATGGATAATGATGGTCTCCTAGGATTCCTTGGCCACACAGCAACCTCGAAACTCAAAATGCAACTCTTTTAGTGTAAGCTAGTTCTGCAAGGAAGCCTGAACTCCTCCCAAAAGCGGAACAAGTTTCATGGCAACCCAAACTCTCAGCGTCCTCATAGACAGGGGCTACTAAACTCTCTGACCGCGCAAGGCTCCAAACGCTTGTCCTCAAGAAGTTCAAACCTGAAAGCTTGAACCCTTCAGTTAGGAAGGTGAGTTGTTGGGCTTACACCGTCTGATGTCTTGAAAAAAACCGCAGCAGCATGGATACGCCCATAGCACATCCTTCCCCATGCTGTCAGTAATGAATGAGGGTGAGGGAGGTGGGGGGCCTTGGCGATGGCTCGTATGACTGCAACCAGAGAATGCCCTGAAAGCTTGAATTCTTGCTACTCCTTCCAATGGACACGAGAACAGTGCGGAGCAAGGACAAGCGGCCTGCTGCGCTTGCACGAAGGTGTCGGAGATAGCCAATGCGGCGGGCGTATTCTCTTCAACTAAGCTCGTCTCCTTGTGATGGGGTTTGAAGCTGATTTTTGCGGGCTTGGTATTTAGAGGGTTAAGACGTCAGGAGTAGCAGTGGTCAGCTTGGAGAGTCCCTTAATTTTCAACCCCCTAGACCAGGTTCATAATTGGGGCTTACTTTCAATCCAGCAGTGATGAAAATTATCTTTGAGAGCTATTTCAGGTTGAGTAGACTTGAATTTGGGGACTTGCATGCAAGCAAGCATTGAGGCTTCGGGTTTGGGAGTTGGTGTTGCGTTTCGATCTTCAGCGAAGTGCAAGTTAGGGCTTGGAGGTTCGTTTGGAATCAACATTTTTCAGGATTTGGGTTGCAAGGTGCCCGAGTGAATTGCCTGGTGATTGGTATCCCTAGATGCAGTGAGTCGCTAACTAGTTAGTTAGAGAGCCAATACTGATGATACGTGAACGGAGATTCCCCTCTACCGAGGTCTCAAACGCCCAAGAAAAGCCGATAGAAATGGAGCTCTCGGCTCAAACAGTCCAAAAGGGATTCCGGCAAAGCCACAGGATTATTCATGCCGTGTTGGTGTCGTCTGCACCAATTTGCGCCATCAAGCACAGCCAACATTGAAATGAGTCCAGTTGGATCCAAGAGCAATCCCTAAGCCCTAAACAGCCGTCCTAAGCCTTAAGCCCGAACCCCTGAAGTCCAATTGCTATACCCTGACCTCTAAAACCTATAGACCCTAAGCCCTCACAACCTTAACATCTGAGTCTTAAGGAGTCTTGCACCCCAAGTCCCACACCTTGAACCTAGAACCCTCAGAGCCCCGGCAAGCCGCCTGGAAGATGCAGAAGTGCGTCGCATGCTGTGTGACAGGCACCCAGACCTGGCATAATGCGAATACTTTGGCAGATTATCTTACACAATCCGTGGTGATGCCCTCTCAATACGGTCAGTCTTTGGGGATTGGGATGTGGCTCCTCTCCCCGCACCAGGCTATGAGTGGGATCTCCTCCAGTAAGGACCTCTGAAAGATGCCCGGCCTTGAGTACCATCCCCTTCAAGGACAGTATGGAGGGTTTTTTTTTTTCGAGAAAATCGTAAATCATGAGCTCATGCCTTCCGGGGCTCAGCGACCACCACAGCTGTACATACGAACACCCAAGACTTCCTGAGACTCCTGAAATGAAAAGGTTTCAATGGGGACCCCAAACAGAGAACCCGAAGAATATAGTAAGAGTGCTGCGGAATATAGAGATTTTTGGAAGGTATATTCCTATCACGGTCCTGTATTCTTGGGGTTCCCTGCATAGGGTCCCCATTATAGAGTCCTTTTGAGCATAAAAATTGCCAGGTCATGAACATGAGGTGCTTCTCCAAATCGACACAATATTCCCGGGCTGCTATATCTTCTCACTTGCCACACTGTGGCTCGGGAATGCCTGAATGTTGAACAACTGCCACCACCTCTCCACAGCCGCGCCAAGTAGATGAATACCTATCTAGCTCTCATAGACCCCCTAGCTAACATTGAACCACTATGCTATTCCTGAAGCCTTGAATCCTATCTGATGTCCTCAAAACCCCCTACGGCCCTACGAACACATCACATCTAGATATGTATGTGCATGGGCACGGATAAACACAGAATATGCTCCAAAACCCGAATGCTACCCCAAGCCCAAGCCCCTGAACCCTAAACCCAAAATGCACAAGCGCGGTCGGATCACGGAGGTATCAGGCTCCACATCGAAGAAGCTTGTCCCCTGAGGAACACCTGCCCAAAAAGCGAATTTGCGATTGTGTTCAGCTTTCAGGGCTTAGGGTTTTTGGATAGATGAGCTACAGTCAATCAAGGTTTCCCGCAAAATTAATGGACATGGGTTCTTATTAGGGGTTAGGGACTATACTCAACTGAAAAAAAGGCCTTGTGTCCACTCTAAATGGTCCCTTATATTGGCAGAAGCCCTTCATAAAAGTGATTGCGGGTCGGGATGTGGAGCCTTAGCCATGCAGGCCGAGGACTTTAGCCAGTGCTTTGAAATACTCAGTTCTGCTGCCCTGACTGCTCATTGAATGTTTCAAATTCCTCGAATATATAGTGGATTTAGAATCTTGCCGGAGAAAGGTCGCGCAATACAAGAAAGCTGGGTAGAAAGTCTGTATTGTCAACCAATTGGTTGGTTCACTTACACGCAGCAAACCACTTTCTGCAACATCTGTTCAAAACAAGACTCTTGAGCCGCTGACCGGAAGTTTGAGACCTGAGCCCGAAGTCCACAGACCCTCAATGTTCTTAACCCTCTGCAGCCTGTATACCCTGAACCGTAGACCCTGACCTCTAGACCCTGACGCCATCCGCGCAGGCTCCCCCCCCACCTGTCCCATTGCCATTGGTGAGCCGCAATCGATTGCTTCCCTGGTCATCCGTGGCCAAGAAGATGTGGTAGTACTCCTTGGCAACAGGCTAACTTAAGCAAATTAGTAAGGAAGTTTGGAAAGGGCCTGTACTCCTTGGCAGGAAGCTAACAAAGTAAACCAATAAGGAATGCGTAGGCACCAACTAGAACTTTACCTAAGGTTTCTTGTTCAGGTTCCTGTACAAAGCCCTGTATACAAAATGCTTGGAGTTTCTCAGCTTGTGTGTTTCGAGCAACAACTGTGTGGGGCTTGGGCAGGCCATGTACGAACACCCAATTTTGACGACAACTCGTACCAACAGACTCTGCTATCCTTCTGAAGTAAGTAGGAAGGTACGTTTTGGAGAAAAGCTACCCTGCGTCTAACGCCACTTCTGACACCCAGCTGGAGTACCCAGCATCCTTGCACGAATAGCTTGTGAATAATGACTAGCTGACTAGCTATGGAAACGAATACAGACACCCCAAACAATCCACCTAATGTAGACACCTGAATAGTGGGAATACCCTGAGGATCAAATGCTTATATCACTACTGTATAGTATGCCCCAGAACCCAATCGAAGCAATTCAGCATGCTACAAGAACATTGAGCCCCTGCCAAGTGGCTACTTTGTAGCTCTGACTGTGCTCCGTCCACGAGAGGGTGCCACCAAGCTGCCATACAAGAGTAATTAAGAGTCTAGGGTTCAGCGGTTTGGGTTGAAGGTACTTGGAAGGCCCTAAGTGATCAGTGGATGACTTAAATGCCATGCCACAATACCCTCTGGGCGTATTGTCCGCAAGAGATATACTGGGAATACACTGTGGGCTTCCTTTCCTTCCTTCTGTCTTGAAGATGACTTTCCTCGTCGAACTTGGGCAGTTCATCCATGCGTAGCATGGACTCCAAAAAATTGTTCCGTGTAGGGTCAAGAATGGGCTTCTTGTGTTGCACAAAGAAGGTGCGAAAAAGGTTTTCCGAAGCTGCACTGCCTCCGCTAAACGAACACATAGGGCTTAGAGGAATCTTTCGTTTACACTGTTGCTTTGGACACAATCACTCATGTGAAGCCCATCGAACTCTTACTTAGGCCTCATACGATCCGTAAGCCCTTGACTACCTTGCAGTCCAGCGAAAAAGACGAAAATCATTTTGAGAAGCCCTAAACCCCGAACCCTAACTCTACACCAAGAGTTAAAAAGGCCTCATCATTGTCGAGATCCAGATCTGTGAATTGCAACAGGCGAGCACTGAAACCTTAGCGCGCAAGAAATCTGAGGACGTGAAGGTCAGGCGGGTGTGAGCCTGGGCTTAGCGGCTTAGCGGTGCAGAACTTTAGGGCTCAGGCTTGATCAGGGTTTGCTACTGACATTGTCACCAGCTTTGCATGAGGTATCAGCAACAGTACGTGTGTTTTTGCTGCGGTCGTTGGGCAAGATGTTCAGCAGGCTTTGAGTTGAGCTGTAAGGGGTTGAGAAGTCCGTGAGGCTTTGGTTTGCCAGGCGAATTTCCAGGCATGAAGAGGCTTGGGTTCAAGGATGTTGGACCTTGAGATTGGAGGTGTGGCAGTCACCGTTCTCAGGCTACCAAGATTCAGGGGCGTTAGGTTTTGGGAAGGCTTCCCACTACGTCACTCTTACGACCCAAGGACCATGCCACACTTAGGGGCCCATGTTCAAGCCATTAGAGAGGTCTTCATACAGGGATATTCATATGAGGGTTTCCCTAAATTAGAGATGGCTTTTTGCGGGGTCCCTTGAATAAGTAAGGATTGTGACTGTTGGGGGTGTGTACTGGAGTTCCCTTATTCGTGGAAACTACCATATGATGTGACTGGGGGAGACGTTTCAGAAATCCGGCGCTCTCCCTACAAAATGAATCAGGCCCTCTAGATCAAAAGCCATGCCACCGGCCAGGCTTGATAATTAGGGCTCCTAAAGCATGCTTAGTCTCGCATCCTAGTCCCTACACCATTCATCCCAACCGAAAGTTCCAGGACCCAACAAACAAATACCAAAAGATGACGACCTCCAAAATGAGGGTCGGCAAAACTCCCCAAGAGGAGAACTTGTATTCTCAAAGTAGGATCCCGTGTTGATCTTTTTCACGGGGGCACTGAACATGCTGATCGCCAAAGCCTACGGAGCCAATTGCATGCAACAGGAGCATCAGAAAGAGTACGCACACAACATTCAAAAAAGAATGCGTTTCTAATGACAAAGGTAATTGCAGCACTCAATGATCCATCCAAACTTAGGTCCCCACTGTCATCTGGGATGAAACGCGTGGCTGGCCGCGTCTGCTCTGCGAGAGCCTAGGTGGAGAGCTAACTCAACTACCATGCGAAGAATGTGGGAAGAACTGACGTCGGATTTGCGGTTTAGAGCTTGGGCTTGGAGTATGCCAAAGTCTGTCACCACATGTTTGGGAAAGGATTGTATCTTAACAATGGCGAGAATGATTTGGTTACTTCGTTGAGGAGTCTGTGCAGTATCGAGCGGGTGGGTTTCGGATGTAGGCTTCGTTTGGGGCTGGGGGTCCGCGATCTGGTGCTGTCGTGATCAGTGTCTCTCCCTTGGAACATCCAAGAATCGGAAATGCCTCAAAATCCTCCCTTATCCTTCATTGCCAAAACCAGTGTAAGCAGGGTTGAAGGACCGGGTACCTTGGACCCCAAACCCAACACCCTAACTCGCAAGTGTAAGCGCGATGAGCATGGGGGTTCGTGGCAGTCAGTAACAAATGCTTGAGGACTTGTTCACGCTCAATGGGGCTTTTCGTTGGAGGACGAGCTGAATTACATTGCTAATCATCCTTTGCAGGTAAGGCAGAATATGTCGACAGCCAGCTACATCCCCGGCAGTGCGTCAAGAAAGCCTGGCTGGACTGACCCTGTCACTTTCACCCCAGATTCTACTCTGGGCGGAGGATCGATCAAAACTTCCGCTTCTGTTTCATGAGACACCATCTTGTGCCACATACTGTGATAAGACCAACGAAGTTCCTTTTGCAGTACTCTGGGTGGGATAGTCTTTCCTTGTTTCATGGAATCAGTGGTAGCTTTCACCAATGTCAAGCTATCAGGGTGTAGCGATTTATCGTTCTGTTAGTGACAGGGTCGATGGAAGAGATCCGGCATGTCTTAAGATACCTGAAGATATTTGACCCTGTCGTACTGTATGCCTGTTTGAGCATCGACTCTGTTGACTTGCCTTCATTGGGCCGGCCAAACCTACGTTGGAATCATCGTCTTGATCCGCTTTCGGATCTTCAGCTTGCAAATAGCGCAAGCCACTCTCTGTTTGCCATGCTGACAGATGTTGACCCCACCACCGGGTGCGCAAACAGCCTGCACACGGTTGTGGATGCAATAAACAAGACCAGAGGTACAATCTGATTTGTATTTTGACCCGTCGGCCGGCTTGAAGAAGGCCCTCAACCCACCACCAGCCTGACCGTTGCACGGCTTGTGCCCGGTGTTGGGCACCAGCACTGAAGCTCGGGATGTCTTTGGGTGAACAAAGTACCAGCAAGAGATGAGCTCATGGGAGCAGCGCTCACATTTCAAAAGCTTCGGTTCTGACGGCCTATGCTCGATGGTTCTGAGCTTCTTGCGAGGTGGTCCTGGATCGTACATGCGCCCATCTGAAAGGACCGCTGGCCGGCGTCGTTGACACTTCTTCTTCTGCTTGTCACCAGCAGAGGTCGCATGGATTTCTTGCTCACCGCAGGCAAAGGCTCTGAGGCGTCTCCAAAGACTGTATGATGCCACAAACTCAAAGTTGGCATGAAATTCTTCAAACTTGTTGGTCAGATGTTTGATGCGCAAGCGCGCTATCTCAATCTCTGAAACGTCTAGGTTGAGGGAGCGCCACAAAGCAAGCGACCGGAGCAAAGTCTTCTGGACAGCTTGCTGGCTTACCTTCACCTTCAGCTCCTCACTTACAATTCTCGTGCCATCGACTCTGCCTACTTGGCTTTCGGCTGCGGCCAAGCGCGGAGGCGCCAAGGCCGCAGTGAGTTGGAGGATCAGCCTCCTCAGTTTACTCACCGAAGTCTCCTCCTGCAACGCTTTGAGGCGCAAGGCCCAGGCGGAGACTTTCACCTTGCGCTCCTCCAGTGTCAGGCTGTGCCACTGCGACATACAACGCTGAAATTCCCTCGCCATGGCTGGACTTCCGTCTGCTTGGTCCTCATCACTTGCAAGAGCCAGAGACAGCTCATGCTGCAATGCCTCTATGCTTTCAAATGACTCACTGCATACAACCTCCGCTTGCTGACTCCACTTTTTGACGCAGCTGCTCGCAGTATCCAGGCTGGCTTCCAGACGAGCGTCTGATTGCGGTTTCTCAAGGGTGCTCAGCATCTTTGCCAGCAGGTGTATGGGGGTGAGGTCACCGCAATCGCGGCATAGCACCGGCAGCTCCAGTTTCGCCACCCACCCGCAGACGTGGCAGATCAATCTCGCCAGACGCACCTGTTTCCGGCATCCTGGCTTTGAGGATGCCTCCTCAGCAGCACCGAGGTAGCGCCGGATCGTACCCCGTCGGTCGGCTTTCCCGGCGAACTTGCTAGCATGGTGCTGCCAGTAGCTCTCCATTGGTGTGACATGCACTGCCCGAAGAACCAAGCAAGAGCCTGCAATTCAGCCACAACCCCAAGCAAGGTCTACGCCTGCACTGTCTCTATGGTTGCAGCATAGACCTCGAATCCTCGTCCAAACCCCAAGATAATGGCAAAATTCTCCATCACAAATATCCAAGTTGCGAAAAAGATCGGGAGACGATACACTTGTTTGTTACTAGGTTCCGCACCTGACCCCGAGCTCATTTGCAAAACTTTATGCCTACAGCCTAGATCATGAGACCACGAACAAAACCTCCAGGACTTAGGGTGCAAGATTTGTTGGGGTTTACCTGATCCCCTAAGACGGTGCGGAATAATTGTTTCGGGCAATTATGTTACCTACATTTGGGGTCCAGGTAGGAAGCTCTTAGGGAAAACGACTATATCTAGGGTTGAGATCCTCAATGCTCTTCAACTTGACTCTGGACGGGTCCCGGGCAGATGCCGCGTAGACGAGGATGTAGTCACTGGGCGCAAAGGTTGTCTCTGCCTTTAGCTCGACCTCAGCCGAAGATAATAAGTGGCTGCATATATAACTCAGCCAAAGGATACATGATGAAGCGACCAGGGCTTAATGCACTGGCCTAGAAAGTTAGAATGGGGTCGTTTAGCTAGGCGTGACGTATATTAATCTCCACGGGAGAATTTCGATTCAGCAAGTAAGCTGGCCACTCGCTCCAAAAGAAATGAGAGGATACTAATGGAGAGCAGTGGGTCCAAGTCCTGAACCTATGAAAAAATTCCAGCCCAAACTCCTCCTTAAACTCAAACCCCCCAACCACCCTAGACCAGGCCCTGAAACCTGGCAGGCTCAAAGGATGGAAACACCCCCAGTTAAGGTTTTAGGGACCTCTTCATCTCGGTTGCCTTGGAATGTAGAGTTGGGTGTCGGGCATTTGGGCTTCGAGGGTGTGGGTTGTAGGGCTTGGGGTTCGTGTTTAGCGGATGAGTGACAGGATCCGCATAGTAGCTTCAACACTTCACACGAAAAAACAATTCGCCCGTGGCTGCGCCCTAGTGTATGGTGTTCCGCAACACAGCCTTATAGAACGACCTGTGGAAAGTTCTCAATAAACCTCATATCGCAGGATATCGCAGGAATGTAGAGGTCCTGCGCAGCTGGTTGTAGGAATGTCAGAAGACTATAGATTCTTGCGAAAATGCAGAACCATAGAAACACCATTCATCTGAGTGCATGGCAAAACGCCACCAAATCGCAGCTGCAACAAAGGTGTCCTGTGTTGCAAGAGCCAATATACCCCAGTTTACATTCCATTGTCCATGTGACTGCGTTTCACGCGATTCTCCATTTGGAGGGGAATTCCCTACCTATCCCTGAAAATCCCTATATAACCGTATACATCCCTATATAGCTCTACATATCCCTACATAAGCCTGTATGTCCCGATATAACCCTACATGTGTCTGCGATGCTTTGGTGTGGTGGCGTCTAGCGCCCAGCTTTATGGTTTGAGGACTTTCGGGTTTAGGGCTTAGGGCTTTCAATTCACGATTCATCTAGGTGTTGCGTACAAGTTAGGGGAGCTTGGGCCAAAGGATTTGGAAACTTGGCTTGGCGACTAAGGCTTCACAGATTCAGTAGCAAGTTTTGTTTTTGGTGTAGGGCATGCAGCTGCCCAACTGCGATTCAGAAATGAACAGACACAAGCATGTATGCGCACGCATATATCCATATATCCAGAAGCATCGGCCCCCTTGTTGTAGCAGGACCACTTACTTTAAGAACTCCACCACCCTCAGGCTGCATGCAGGGACAGATCCTTCGAGGCCGTGTTGATAAACCACGGACCCTCGGAGTCTGTGCCAGCACCTTACTGGTCAAAGTTCAGCAATTTCGGGAGTATGCAGAACGATAGACAGGATTTTGCCTGGCATAGGGATCTATTGGATAGGACTTTACAAGAGCGACTTCTTGGCTTCAAGGTTTGCATCTTACGGCTTCAGCATGTCGGCTTTACAGGATGTAGGCTTTCGCTGCTTTTCCTGAGAAGCTTGGTCTTTCAGAGGGTATCACCCTCCGACACTTCGCAACCCAAAGCCCCAAACCTCTAGACCTGAAGCTGTGGACCCATAGGTGGGTGGATCATACAATGTTGTGTGCTTCAAGTAGGTAAACATAGGCTATGACCTGGCCAGAAACTGAGTCCCTGCTAAGGGAGCAACACGAGTAGCAATGCGCAACTATTTACAGTAATCGCGATTACTTTTCCCAGCGAGAACCATTCCGCCTTTCCGCCAACTCTGACGCCTCGAGATAATCCTTAAATCATCCCAGCGTATGCTTCTCAACAATCACAACCTAATCCGCGCTGTCCAATTCCCGTCCTTTTCTTGCAAGCTCTGAGCTCGAACGCTTAAAATTCACCAGAAGCCCTACACCCTCAACCCCCGCACTTTACGCCCTGAATCCCTAAAACCCCAAAGCTTCAGTGGCGGTGCTGTAAACCAGCCGGCCGAAGTAGACCATGTAGTGGGTCACAAGTGCTTCTTGGTAGGGAAACTCCTTGGCAATGTAGGGCTTGAGAGATTATGACGGCGGGCTGTGAATTTGAAACAGATACAGGCCCGAGGGTTTAGGTTTTACAGTTACAGGGTTTGAGGCTTAAGGCTTGGAATTGCAAGCCGCTTTCCCAAGCCCTAGAGCCCCGAAACCACCTCGAGAATGCCTGAACATCTCTTTGAACTTGTATCCCCATAAATCTTTCACGGACAGTCAGAAAATCACATGCAAAACGAATGAGCATCTCTGACAAAACCTGGCCCTATCAGTGGACCCGACCATCCAAGAAGAAGAACGCCAGGAACACATTGGCAGACCACCGTAGCAAAACGCCACCGACCTTTGAAACCCATCTGGCAACCAACGAGCGCCCTTCATCAAGTCATAATGCTCATTCTTGGCCCTGAACCTCAAGCCTCAACGGGGAGGACTGACCTGACAATGAAGCCATGTGCAAGCATGCTTAGCCCTGTGCGCACTACATGCTTCTCCCAAGGCACCCAGACGATGGTACCACCAAGCTCTCCCCCATCGAGGTCCAAATCTTCCAGGTTCACGTTGAGGACCTACGCGTTCATGGACACAGAGTTTTGGCTTCTTTGTGATGGAGGGATTCTACGGGATTGATGCCGAGGGGTTAGCATTGTCAGTGGATTATACGACCTGGGCTCGATAGGCTTCAATAGAAGAGAGCTATTGAGCCTCCAAAAACAGCCAAAAGAGCCCGAAGTCGAGCCACGATAGTCTGGCACGAGATTCTTTTTGGGCCAACGCAATTTCTATCCTCCCCTGATACTTCACCTTTTCAGGCTTCACACAAAGCAGGCGTCATCCCAGCTGCGATAGGGCCAAGTGGCTTCAAGGACCGCTTGTGGGTCCTTGACACGGAAGATGCCCTGCCCTGGCCTGCACACTGAAATAAGAAATACTCTTCCTGGTAGACTTTCTCAAGCAGCCACCACTGAGGATGCTGAGGGAAGCTCGAATTTAAATGGACGTAGAGACCCCTGTGCTGCGAGGCATGCGCTGAAGTCAAGATGCAATCATGGATTTCTGTCTTCATGCATGCTGCGGAAAATGGCCTCACTCATGCAATGAGCGGGGCTTGCAGGGACACGTTTAGCCATCTCAACGCTCCACGATGCAAAACAAGGTAAAACACGGTCATCATGGCAGCCAGGATGGTCAAAGCCGTCAAAGTTGCAGATGCACGTTGCAAATTGCCGGTCGCAGCTGCCAAACTACTGGAAGACTCCTTCTCTAAAGCCCTCAAATTTGCAGACATGCTGTTGCAAATTGCCGGTCGCAGCTGCCAAACTACTGGAAGACTCCTTCTCTAAAGCCCTCAAATTTGCAGACATGCTGTTGCAGATTGCCGGTCGCAGCTGCCAAACTACTGGAAGACTCCTTCTCTAAAGCCCTCAAATTTGCAGACATGCTTTTGCAGATTGTCAGTCACAACCGTCAAGCGAGAAAGCTGCTTCTGTTGCGCCATGTATGCCTCTAGCTGCTCAGACTCCAGAGCCGCTCTGTGAGATTCCGGGGATGGTTGCTCCGCAGAATTCCAGGGGATCAATGCCGAGTCAGGCACGGTGCAGCAACCACAGGGGTAGTTCATGTCGTCATAAATATCTGGAACAATTGTCACAGCAGCGAATGCTTCTGCCACAGCAGGCAAGATGTCATCTGCAAGCTGGGCAGCTTCAGAAATCCCGGAAGGCACCTTTTCCAAGATTTCTGTCATCTTATCCGTCAGCTTTGCCACGCTTGATGATACCCAGCCTGTGCCGCTAAGAGCAGCAGCGACTTCTTTGTACAGTTCAGATTCCTTTGCCAACCTCAAGATCTCCAAGGCCAAGTCCTTTACTTCCTTCACCAGCATCGAAATGTCAAGGTCCAAGGATGCTTCTGTCTTGTCGATGGTCTGCTTGATTGACAAAAGCTGCTCGGCAGCGTGGAGAAGGTCGTTTAACACGTTCATCACGAAGCCATTCGACGGGAGAAAACTGAGCGACGATAAGAGCTGCTTGTAGATGCCGATTGCGTCTTGAAGCTGTTTCGTCTCAATGTTTGCAACTGTTTTCCCGAAGGCAACACTGCTGGCAACCCCTTCGTGGCAATCACAATCAGCTTGTGAATGGAGCCAATTGCAATCTGCTGCCAGGCATCTCCCCATACCACAACAGAGTCCACGAACATGCCCAGCAAAGGGACGGCACTTTCCAAACCATTTGCCGTGCAAGAAGTTTGTGTCATTCCCGTTGGGCACGTGCAAAGTGATTTGACCTCACAGCACAGAGGCTCCTGCCACTGAGCTGGGAGCGCTCTCACATACATCGATGAACTCGGACAAATCATGTTTGGCTGGCACTGCATACACTGGTCGTTGAAGTCCACCATTAAGTTTCCAGAATGGTCAGCTAGGTCTGTAAGGGCAAAGCCCGAACCCAGATCTTGCTCGTGGAACTCATTGCAGAACATCCTCTGGAAATGCTTTGGTGAGTAGGTATTTTTTTCGTGGGACTCCGAGGGGATGAACAGGCATGCCAAAGACAAGATTGACGCCATCCAAGCCATCAGAAAGGTGCCAGGTTCCTTGGTGTACAATGGATAGCGGAGATCTTCTGCGAAGCGGGTTCCCGGATGCTTGCTAGCCTAATTATCTACGGGTCAGCGAGCCAGGTGCCCCGAAAGAAATGCAAATTCAAACGACGCTGCCAGCTCTCAAGGCCGGGCTTCAACTGCTTTGAAACCTCAAAACTGAGAGTTCAATTTGCAAGCATCACTGTGAAGCACTGGCCATGTGATGGACATTTACACTCGCGCTGTTCCCTGCGTGCAGCTTCGTAAACGTTGTTTACTCATGCACCCTGCCTCATTTGGACTTAGCTTCCTGGATTTCCCTTGCCGCAGGATGGATGCGCCTACTTGACGAGCGCAAAATTACAAGCCGACAATCAGATGTGAATCCGCTGAGAAGCTTCTGTCCTTATCTATGAGCGCTGAGCCCTGAGGAAATCTACAAAACCCGTTTCAGAGCTTGGGACTGGACGTAACCGATTTCCTTCATGCACTTTGGGCCAGTCCCCAAACCTCTTAGACCTGTCCCATATTAGGCCCGGTGACCTCTTTTGTACCCGTCGCTCTAAACTCTATATCTCCTACCGGCAAGTTAAGAGCCTGGAAGTTCGTGTCACTGACGTTCTTCCAACTGGGCGTTGTCTGCTCGGAAAGCGTGGAGACGGAATGCACAAGCACCTGGGTCCATTGGCTTGCTTGAGCAGATACATAAGCGATACCGAACTTCCCTTCACATCTTGCAATTCAAGCCGAGTCCATCAACCCTTACATGATTGCTACTATTATTACTAGTGCTGCTACTATTATTATTGTTGCCATTATTTCTATCATCCAAAGCGCCACAGTTGGCTGCGCCGGCTGCAAAGCAATGGGCCGGACACCCGCACTCTGATCACCTTTGGTGAGACCACAGACTACGAAAAATCCAGCGAAAATGCAGGGATCATGTAGGGGCCCGATTCAGTACCAACATCAAATTGTGCAAGGTAAGCAGGACCTTGTATTGCTGATTAGTCCAGCTTCTACATAGAAAAATTCAGATAGAGCCGAGAGCTTGGTATGACTGACACGTAGAGGCCTACATAATTCGAATTTAGAAAATAAAGTGGCAACTGACAGATAAGAACTTCGAGAATCAAATGGCAACTGGTGGAGAAGAGAAGGGAAACTACATATTTCGGATTGGGTAGTCTGGAGTCTATTTATCAGAAAGATGGAGAAACAATAGAAAAGGAAATGGGCACGACTATCGCACTGGGGTGAGCATAGATTGGACTATAAGGCTCTAAATGAATGGAATGCGTCTTTTGGGGGGGTACAGTCTACTACTCGGATGTCTACATTAGAACCACTAGGGTGACGTCAGGTTGCAGTTGCAAGCTTGGGGAGGGCGCTCTTGAGAGTTCAACTCAGGATGAATTGCTTCAGGGAATGTAACGCTCAAGGTTTAGGACTTGAGGCGTAGGGCTTAGTTAGGGCGCGCTCAGGTGGCTAAAGGTGTTCTGGCTTAGGAAACATCTTTTAGAGTTTTCAGCTTCTTTTCTCCAAAAAATCTTTACGGCGGGGGAGTTGGGGCATAGAGCATTTCCTGTTGGGTTCGATTATCCGGCTTGAGGCACCGCCTAAGACCTCTAGGGTAACAATAAATAGGCAACCCATTTGCTTCTGGATTCCTTCAAGGAAGGCTAACTGCTGAGGGTTCAGGGTTGCCGTGCCGGACAGTGATACTAGCCAATTAACCTACTTATTCTGGGAAGAAGCCCGAGTCTGGGGTTCTAAGTAACCAAAGCCACGGAAACATGCCGCAGCCATACTTTATCTAAGCTCACAGTCGCCATTTGGGCCTATATTATGTGCGCTGGAAAAATCGCTCAAAACCCTAATTACGTCATCGGATTGCGAACTCTAGGGTTGTCTTTAGGGGGTCACTGCGACACCACACTACTGTTTACCCCCTAGTTAACCCCCGGTAATAAGCCCCCCGAATATAGTACCATTATGTATCCCTGGGAAAAACAATCATCATTATTATTCGGGGGAGGTGGCTTCATTAATTGGGAGAGGGGAATATGCTGCACAGCCACAATACGGCAGAACCGTCTCTGCGGGAACGCTTCCCGTGTTGGTGCCCACGGGAGACTGGGGAGCAGCCAGTATCCTGAATGACAAGTTCCTTTCGATGATTTTAAGGATTCTTCAAGGCTGATGAGGACTAGAGTGATTACAGAGTTCAGGGTTTCAAGCCTCTCCCTCTCTCTTCGAGGTTGGACGGCAAAGTTCCCATAAAAACTCAGGGCAGTATGATACAAGCGCTCACATGCCTATTGGGGCTTTGGGATTGCAATATCTGGCATGAAGAAGTTGTGGTGTGGGAACTTTGGAAGCCTTGAGCAGCCCTGATCTCTAAGCAAACGTTGAGCTTGAAACGGGGTAACTCCACGTCTGTTTCCAGGAGGGTCCAAAGCAAATCTCTGTCTGAGGCAGATAGAGTATTGACCACATCGGACGAACTAAAGTGTACTCCCTCCACCGCCTATGCTTTGCCTACTTTGGCAGGTCTCCGGCACTTGGGCGCTTGTTGTAGCTTGAATCTTATTATGTCTCACCAGAGCACTAGAAACCTCATCACGTGTACTCCAGAAGAAGGGGCCCACTGCTATAATAAAACCTGAGAGGCCCCCGTTGGACTGCTTATCGGTTTTTCTTGCAGACCGTTCTGGTTCACAACGTGCGTTCAACGGCTGTCTGTCTTTAGGTCGCAAGAATCTTCCACTTCTGCTAAGACGATAGGAATTTCTTTTTAGATGGATTCGCATGGTGGATGGGGGTGTGCTGTTGGCTTGCTGGGGCCACCAATGTGGTTGGTCATACAGACAACATATGCATGCGCACTGTGCCTACGACAGCCCTCAGCCTAACATTATTGCTTTCAAAGCCGCTTCGCTCCCTGCATGCTACTGCTAGTCCTACTTCGGATCTGATTGACAAGTCAAGCCTTAATCTGTAGGCAGCTCAATTGAGCTAACAATCCCATCAGTTCATACAGTTCTCAGTTCGGTGAACCCGAAAAAATACTGTTCGCGATGCTTCGCATCATGAACTACATCCCTGGCCACACCCGTGCCTCTCAAGCCCGCGCTCATTCATCCCAATGTACACGCGGTAGTATGTCACTGCGTCCTGCTTCCGCTGATTGAGAAGAAAGGTTTTCATTAAGAGCCATCATATCTCCACGGAATGTTCTGGGAAAAAAGGAGAAGCACCAAAACATCCGCATGCATTCCACAGGGCGGGACTGAAAGAAAGGTTCAGGACTATTTGTAGGACTTGGGCTTTGTTCCGTTAGGGCATTGAGATGTATTGGGCTGGAGCTTTGCCATGGACCTTGCTTGAACTGTGTTTCTTCCTGGAACTAATTGGGGCAGAGGACTCTGCCGCAACAAGTCAGGTTTCGATAGGGTGGACGATTTGAACGAAATCGAATTCTTCTAAGTCTTGGCCGGTCCGAGACCAACTTTGAAGAAAATTCCACCAACTTACACGTAGACCCCGTAGAGTTTAGCTGAGGATTCCTCATCTATTTGCAGACATGCTCCTCTGAATGCTGCCTGTGATCGTTGTGGCCATTTGAGGACAAGGAGCTAAGTTTTGTAGAGGCGAAGATTGGAACAGAATACTCCTGAGATGTTCTGTATCATATCCTACACCATCTACTGAAGGAGCATTGTGAACTTGACGCGCAAACGTGGAATGTGCAAACTCAAGAGCTCCTCATAGAAATCCGGTGGGTTCCAGTACACCGTTCCTGGAGAATGGTTTGTTGTTGATTGGGGGGGCTCGGATTGCATAGGAACTGAAAAGCGTCAGAATACAGTAGTTGAAGGGCTTTTCCAGGATCATAGAGTTTCAGTGCTTTTCAGCTTTTTATGTGTTAAGTGTAGGCGTGGAATCTGGGATCACTAGCCATGCTTTACCTCAAAAACCTGGAGTTTAGGCCAAGGGTGCAAGGTTTCGGCTTCAGGTGTGTATGCGCTTTTGAAACAACTGGTGGATTCAGGTTCCACAGGGTTTGGGATGGACAAGCTTAACTCAGATGGGACTGGGAAGTGGTCGGTCTTTCAATCATGGTGATGAGGGTTCAGATTTCAGGGGCTTGGGTTTCTTGAGAACTCTCCACACCGTCCCTTGCCCAGTATACGGTCACGGATGCGTGTGAGCAGCTCTTAAGCCTACAGCCCAATCTCCAATACCACATTGGGGTGAAGGGCTTGGAAATGCGACATGGTGGAGAAGGAAGCAACCTTTAGATCGCTCCGGTCGGTCAATCTTGACTATGTAGTGAACATGCTCTTACCGCTTCGATGAAACATACGTCTGCCTTCCATCTATGACTTCCCACTAGTAGTGCCATGAGAAACTCCCATATAAGAGCTCAATAATCCCGGCTTCCATTCAATAGTCCAGTGTCTTTTCCAGATGATTGCCCATCATGGTGCTACAATTCTTACATCCATAACCCTTTTAGAGGGGCCCTAGACCCCCATGTTCCATTTGATTCTCCGCTTGCGTTCTACCATCAACTTCTGCGGCTACCTTTCCGAAAACAAACCAGTGACCTGAGCTAAGTCTCCCAAGCGTCGAGGGTTTGGTATTTGAGCTGTAGAATTTGGGGAGAAATTGGTCAGACATCAAAGAGGGGCGATGCCCATAAGGCCCCAGGTCTCAGGTCTTCGTGGAGAAACAGTCAACTCCCCTAACCCCAGCAGATTACCCCGCATGTTTGTGTAGAATCTTTGCGAATACTGGTACGATTGCCGTTGGTTTCAGAGTCTTACCGACAACCGAACTCCAGAAGCCCAGAATAAGCACTTGTCCCCACAAAGAGCTCCAAGCAATCACATTCCGGTAGCCGCCAAATCTAGACTTTGTCATCCTAGCATGATGAATCGAACCAAAAGCCCCGAAATGTTCCGCGCCAAGCTGCCGCCCACTTCATGGAGATCCAAGTCCTTGCGGCTAGGGTTGAGAGTTTACTGTGTAAAGTCTGTGGTTTGGGGTTCAAGGCTTGGCTCATGGTCCTGGGGCTACTGTTTTGCGGGATAGAAGGTTCATGAAATGTTCGGAGAAACAAGTTTCAAGATGCTTTATGAATGACAACGTACCCTTTGGGGCCATGAGCATAAGGGGCCATAGCTCATGAAGCCTTACACTACTCAAAATGCATTGTAACATACCCTCGAATCAGGCAGCCTTGCAGCTGCTATGGCTGTGCGATTGCGCCAAAACAGTATGCAGTACACTTTCAGAAACACACCAGAGCAGCTACCCTGGCCTTCAGCGTGTTTCTTATGCCGACACGCAACGCTAACACCAGAACCCCAAACTGAGGCTCCTCATCGGGAAAGGTGATGTTGGACACGCTGGCGTTTGCGTCCGCAATCTCGAACGAAGCAGGGGTCCTGTGGCAAAAGCCCGGGGCATCGGGAGATCTTGGAATTAGTGCGGGACGGAAATTGCATCAGACGTATATAGGAATTGGCTGCGACTCTCAACAAAGATGGGTTTTTAGATCTCTTAGTTCGGAGAATCCTGGAAGACTGGATCCCATTGTGTGCCAAGAGACGGAACGCCAGTAGAAGAATCCAAATTCTGCTGGAGGAGCTACGCGCAAGCATTGT